TTTCTCATAAGAATGCTTTTTTTTTTTAAGAGGATTGGGTTTCCATCTCTGTGTAGTCAGATTGCCCAGTGAAACAGGTTAGTGACTGAAAAACAGTTCAGATGCTTGGTGCCGAAAAGAGAGGTGTAAGACCCCTCATAGAGTCCATGAATCTTACTGATTGAAAAAAATAAAGAGACAGTACCAAGCAAATAAGACTGTAGAGAGGTCCTAGACTTCTGTGTGATGGTGTGCCTGTGCAAAGAAGGTTAATACTGGGGAGCTTTTATAATTCTGTGACAATTATCCAATCAGATTGAAGTATGATTTAATCTTTGTATGTGTGAGTGGAGTGTATTGTTCTTCCTCATTGCCACAACAGGCTCATCCTGCTTGAGCTTTGTAAATCTTCTGCTTATCTGTGAATTTCACTCTCGGTGATCAAGGCTCAGCTGTGCTCCTGTGGTTTATGTTCTGAGCACTTAAACCCCTCACTTTTGTGTCAGCACACAACAGACCACATGCTTCCATCTGTGGTATTATATATGACCATGGCTCGGGTTTGTGTCTTTGTTACATTATTCTGGAAATGCTTTTAGTTCTGCATCAGGTTGGCATTCAGGACCACTGCTCAGCTTTGGCTCAGCCAGGACATGAAAGAACCATTTCATCCTTTGGTGATTAGATTAATCAATTTGGCCAACTAACATCTCTTACTGTCGCTAAAAGAAGCTGGATTCCAGCTCCTCGCAGATGTCTGTGAGTCTGGTGGAAGAGGAAGCAAGCGAGGCTTGCTACTTGAAGGAGAGCTGTGAGAAAGGGAGCTGGTGAAGGTACAATGTGATGTTGCTGTTACCGTAACAAAAAAGAGGTTCCTTAATGTTGTGGTGGTTATTGTCAAGCTGGTAACAGCTTTTCAAAGAACATCAGAGCAGTTAACCCTCCTTGAAGGAGGACAGTATTTTTTCATGTGACCAAAACAGAAAAATATGGTGCTTATAGGTGATTCGGTGGGACATTGGGTGGAAGTACATACTGGCTTAGTATTTTTTCATTTGCATATTAAAAATTTGTCTGTATATTAAATACCTAGTGGTTTGGAATGGCATTTGCAGAAGCTCCAGTGCATAATTTAATTTCTGCCTGTTAATCTGGAAATAGCAATTTCTTTACCAATGAACGGAGTTCGGTGATGTTCTAAGTCTTTGGACTTCTGTTTCCTTCCTGTTTTCCAGCAGTGTATGTTGGCAGAGAACCAGCTCTCTCAGGAGATGTCATAAGCTTCAGTACCTCCTAGAAACAGGGCCTTTGGGAGTATTTGCTCCCTTTGCACAAGGTGGAGAAATGCTTAAAACCTATTTCTGTGCATCCTGAAAGCTTGATGAATCAAGATCCTGGCAATAGCTTTGCAAGCTCAGAATGTCAGTAAGCCCCTAGGAAGTTGGTAACTTCTGTAACTTGGCTCTCTTGCTTTTCCCTCCCTGGCATGAATGTTTGTCTTGAGATGTCTCACAAGCCCCGAGATACTTCCAAAAACATGTGTTTCAGGGAGGAAGTTGATTACATTCCTGCATGTATCTTTCTGTTCCCAGTACTGAACCATCCCAATACAGCCATGCTCCAGAGTGGTAATAAACAGTTCACACAGGCATCTCTTCCCATCCACATGCACCTTCCATCCACTAACCATAGCCAGGTGTAGGCTGCTCTGGATGTGTGTTCTGACAGCAGTTGGTACCCAGCTTTTTTCACCCCTGAAGTGTCAGTGGTTTGTTCTGTGGCCAGCAGTAAATGGGATGCTCTGCCTGGTTCTGTATTGCTGTGAACATACCAGTGCTGCAGACTTGGGGTGCAAGTTTTGCTGCTGGGGACATAAAGGGTTATGCAGAATCAGACTTCTGCTTTTTCTTCTGTTAGCCCCAATTTAGAGTGCATATATGAAGGCAATTGAAGAAACCCATTATGGAGAGTATGATAGCTGAGGGCAGTGAAAGCTTAGGAAAGAGGTCGTTGCATTGTCTGTCCCAGGCATTCTGGATGCCTTTGTTATGCTGGACTGGGCCCTGGCTTACAGAGGTGCTGCATTCTGTCGAGATTCCAGGGAGAGAGCTAGTTCTGTAGGGAGCAGAGGTATTTGACTTTCTCAGTTTTTCAGGTACCATCAGTCCATCATCTTACCCACCCAAGCCTTGCCTTCAGCAATTTTCAGTGCTATCAACACTGTCTAGTAGATCTCCCCAAAGCTGCAGGCTCTGAGAAGCTTTGTTCCCCTGAGGCTGCCTTGCAAAGGACAGTCCAGGATCAGCTCAATCACGTGGAGGGTGTTGATGTTCTGGTTGCCTAATCCACACTCTTTTTATCTATTTCCCAGCACACAGGCAGTGTTCTTCCATCACAGTGAAGGTGACATTTTAAAATACTTGTGCACTCCTGGATGCTGTGATGACAAATAAAGGTTGAGAGTAGAGGGAAGGGAAGGTGGCTGATTCTGCAATCCCTTCGCTGTGAATAGGACAAGTCAGGCATAACTGCCTGAACACTTATCAGCTGCTTCTCTCCTTTCCTGTCCAAGTGGTGTGTAGAGGTGAGGAGGACTTCGCTTTGCAGTTGCATAGCTGTGCATCTTCTGAAGACCTTACCTGAGAAGACCAAATCAGGGACCTGATGTCGTGGTGTTTCCAAGCCTTTGAGAGTGCTGTTGCAATGTAAATGAGTGCCTGTTTCTTGTTGGCTGGCTGATTTTGGTACATAACTGAGAAATCTCATCAGTGTAGGTGGTGCTTTATGATAGAAGGGGAGCCAGCAGTGAGCTGCTTCTGTGTGCAAAAGGGCTCCCAGTGCAGCGGCCAGGCTGACACATGGGCATAGCTCAGGAGAAAAGGGAACCGTGGGACTGAGCTCATTGCTGCACTCAGCAAAAAGATGCTGTGCATGACTCCCAAGCAATTCCAGGTACTTGCTATGGTATAAAAAGGTGTAGGGAAGTTGTCCTGTCTGTTCCTGAGTTTTGGCAACTGCTGTGGTGACACTGGCTTTTACCCACAGCTCTCCACCAGTGCCAGGAGAGGTACATGTTAAACTGCTAAAAATATCTCTCGTGCTCAAATAATTTTGTAATGTAGCAGAAAAACCTCTCCTGGACTGCAGATAAACCAGGGCATTTGTCTATGTGCTTGAATGTGAAATGTGCCATTAATCTGCTGCTTTGGCTGATCCCAACTGCCCTGAGACGTTGCAGGGGCTCACAGTGAAAGGAAGTTTAGCCTCATAAAGTGCAGGATTAAAACACTGCTTACAAAATTATTGCAGAAAGAAAAGATAAAAGAGCACAGAAGAGGTAACAGTTAAAACTCATGAGGCCCAGGACAGTGGCTTCTCTGAAGCTTATTTAAGAATAAATCTCCTCAAGAACAAAGTCCTCCTGAAAAGCTGCTGCTTAGACCCCCATTAACCTTTTCTGAAGAAGTAAATTGAATTGCAGTTATAAAGCTGGCAGAACTCATACCAGAGCATTTTTGGCTTCAGTCAGCACTTCATCTCAGGGTTTATTGGCATTTACAAGCACTACCTGTTCTGCATTCTTACATGTGTTTCGGTTCAAGAGTTGTTTGCACTTAGGCAATGTGGTAAATTTTTCCACAGTGAATGAATCTAAAGTTTTTTTGCTTCTTAAATCTTGCTCAAAATCCAAGTACTTGAATTTTGCCCAGTTGTTTGTTGTGGTTTGTCCCACAGTAGGTGGGTCACTTAGAGGTAGAACATGAGAATGTGTGCTTTAGGGTTTAAGGACAGGCCTGGGTCACCATGCTCTGATGGAATACCCTGCGTGGGTTGACTGATTTTTCATGCCCCAAAATGTCTCAAGAGGGATCTATGATGTGTATTTACCTTTTATGAAGTCTGGGAAGCTGATGTGAATTTTAAGGGAAAAACCTGGATTTCTTCATCTTTCAGCCAGGCAGATACATGTTGTCAGAGGAAGTTATTGGGGCTGTTCTGCAGGGTCATTGTGACCTGCCAGAACAGAGGAAGCTCTGAGAAAGACAAATATCCTGTTTTCAGTGCAGTTTCCTCAGTTTTTGTTTGTTGTTTTTATTTGAATGGCTATTGAAAATCCTGCAAGAAATGTGCTGGCATGTGCCAGATATCACATGTGCCTATAGCACTAGTCAGGGTAATGGAGATACAAAAAGGAATGTGAAGCACCTTCAACACTCCAGAGTTTATATAGGTAAATAGAGGGGCTTTTTTAAGAACAGTTTTCATTATACACTGAATTCCTTTTTAAAAGTAGACTAGAATATTTGGTCCTAGGAGAAGTCCTCTTGAGATGATCAAGTCCAACCTTTGACAGAGCACCACCATGTAACTAAACCATAGCACTAAGTGCCATGTTCAGTTGTTTCTTGAACATTCCAGGGATGGTGGCTTCACCATCCCCTGTTTCAACACCTGACCACCCTTTCAGTGAAGAAGTTTGTCCTACTTCAACAAAGTTCTGTTGCCAGTCTTGTTGGTGGCATATAAAATAGTCAAAATCTATGTGCTTTTACAAGCTTCTAGGATGCCTTATGATGGGGCAGGTCTGCACCTTGACACTGTATACCCACAGTACAGAGGGATTTTTGCATTCCTCATTCCTTTAAATAGGTCTCGTGCTCTTTCCCTGCCAGACTAATAGGAAGCCTGGTTGTTAGGTTCACCCCAGTCTCTAGTAAAACAGCTGTGGGAAAAAGATAGCAGTAAGGATTTTCTGGGCCTCTCTCATGTGGAATCTGTTGTGTCACTGTTCAAAAATATCACCAGTTTGATGCCTGCAAGTTGGACTGTTCTAACAAGCAGTATTTAACAGTTACAGAAACTTTATCAAAGGTGTTCTCTGCCATTGTGTAACAGCCTTTCTTCACAGTTTTAGTTGTTTCCTAATTTAGTGGGTATTTGTAGGTGGAAGTCTGCTTATGTTTCATATATATTGTGTCTTCCTCTAAGATGTCCTTCATGATACTTTCTTTTTTTTTCAGATTGTCCCCAGCCACCACAACCTGAGAATGGAGGCTATAAATGCCACCCTAGCCCCTGCAGCAACCCTCTGACTTCAGGCAGTGTCATAGAGTATCTGTGTGTTGAAGGCTACATGCTGAAAGGAGATTATAAATATTTGACCTGCAAGAATGGAGAGTGGAACCCAGCCATGGAAGTCAGCTGCAGGCTCAGCCCTGGTGAGTACTCCCTGACTCTAGAATTGCCCTTGCATTGACTTTTCAGATTTATCCTTAAACTTAATGTGATGCTGAGGAAGTCCATATGGCTGTCTCTCATTGCACCAGCAATTTCATAAATGCAGCTCACAATCATGACTTCAGTAGCAGCCCATCAGATGCAGACTTAGAGTCCCTAACACAAGGAGAAAAGCCATGGAAGGGTTTATAAAGTAAGCAACCTGTTGCTTTTGTGGAGCCTCTTATCTTGAGGCTCTCATCCCAGGAATGCTGGATGCCCCAACAGTAGCATTTTCCATGCTCTCTGGTTTTCCTTGATGGGTTTGACAGTACATCTCCCTCAGTGAGTCTGTGCACACTTGTGTGTGTGTGTGTGTGTGTGTGTAGAGGCAATCTTCCTTGCAAACAGGTTAAGTAACTGTTGGTTTCCTGTGTCAAAAAGATTGATGGTGCTACTTTTCACTGTACTGGCAGAAAGGACATTGCTGACAAATGATTTCTGCTTCTCTTCAGATAGAAGTGGGCAGCTTTTGTTTTGTGTCTCTCCAAGCTGAGCAGGAATTCCTCCATCAAAGCAGCAAAGTAAAAAGATGTGCAGGAAAAAATACAACTCCTAATTTGCCTACTACTCTTCTGGTTTTAACAGTGGGTATATTGCATAAAGGGAGAACTCCCTCCCCTCTTCTAGGTGAGCTTGTTGGTAGAACCTTACTACTCAGTCATCCTGAGCCAGAAGGATGTAAACTTCGGAATTAAGTCTCAGTATATAAAGCAAAATGTCAGCTTAATTGGAAAGAAACAGAAAAAAAGAAGTAACCTTCATCAAACTCTTTATGGAGCTCACTGCATCCCTGTGATCTCTGAACATCCCATCCTTCCCAAAGACACTGTCTTTTCAGTGTCTGCCACTCCAATAGCCCCTTCCTATGAGTTATAAGGAAAGATCTGAGAGTTTACCTGGCAGCAAATAGATCCTGAAGAGGTTTTCCAAATTCAGCTTTAGCTTCCTTTCCACAGTGATCCCCCTTCCCCTTGCTGTGCACCCAGGCTGGAGAACAAAGCTGAGCTATTGCACACAGTGTTCCTTGAGTGACAGTCCTGCTTGGTGACACTTGATCTAACGGAAGGATTGTGTTGAATTGTGATGAGCAGAAATCCCCTCAGATTTTCTTTAGCATCTTGAAGATCAGTGGCATTATCAAAAATACAATGCCTCAAAAGTCTGACCCAATGAAAAAGCTATTGCTTTCACAACACAAGGTGTAAATGAATTGTTCAGGGTCAGAGATAGCTGACTCTTAACTAAAAGGTCTCTTTCAAAAGTCTCAAAGAAGGGGAAGGAGGTGGAAGACTCTAGAAATGATTGGTAAGGGTAAGATCCTACCTGCTGCATATAGGATAAATTAAGTCCCTAGCAGTTACTATGTGTTTTGTGCAGCTCTGAGTCTGTCAGCCCCATAGCCTTGTGGCAGTTCACTGTATGAGTTTGTGACATTTTTTTGGCTTATGAGATGGTAAATGTTCTGGAGTGCACCTTGGATAGTGAGCAGTTTGACAGCATCATGTACTGATGCGGAAAATGGAGCATCTCTATTTGCCTACCCTTGTTCCTATTAGTGCCCTGAGAAATGCTGAAAGTTAAAATCCTTACTCAATCTATTTGCCATAGGGAAAAATGTGCTAGTCACTGGTTTTTTTTCTTGGGGGGAGGCCAAGCTACTTCTAAAAGATTTCAAAGAAACAAATTCAAAACAACTAAACCAAGTTGGTTTGACCCCAAGAGATGATACAGAAAATTGCAAACCAGATTTCCACCTTAAATGCCTGTTTTGGGCATAGATTTCAGGCTGTAGGCTTAAAAATAATGATCCTCCAGCTCTTTTTTTTTTTTTTTTTTGTTTACCTGTTGCTCTTCCTCTCATCCCTCATAACATGTCTCCTGAATTCCCTCTGCAATTTGAGCCCTGTGCTCCTGAAGAATGTGTTGGATGTAGAAAGAGGAACTGAGGAATTGCATAAATCAAATGTGCAATTCACATTAGTATTTCCTGATGGGTAGGTGAGGCTTTTGGGATCTCTACCAGAGACACAAATTAGGGACAGAAACAACAGATGCAGATAATTATTTCCTCTAGGGAGTTGACAGGACTAGTGTAGCCCTATAGGCATGGTGTGCAGTGCTCAGCAATACCACCTCCAAGCCATTCTCTCTTCACCCCCATTTTTTTCCTGCAGAGGTCCTTTAAAAGAAAAATTGTTTTCCATACAGTCACACAGCACAGCTGCAGAAGGGTAGGAAAGAGTAATGTGAACAGGGCACATGTATCTAACACTGAAAACTCAGCACGCTGAAACAACATCTGCCTTCCTTCTCTCTCCTCTGGCATATGTTTGTGTGAGAGAGAAACTTAATATTTTCTGTGTCTTAATTATAGTAAGTGCATAATAATACCCAGCCAGTTGACTTCCACCCCTCTTTCCACCGTTATATTAGTTGAGAAAAAAAAAATTTTTTTTTCTATTGTTTGGCCTAAAATATGCTGCATATTGTGCTAGACAATTATTGGACTTGCTAGTGGCAACATGATATTCTCTAGCTTTTGCTCAGGCAGATCTATATATAACATGACCCTTACCACCATCTGTCAGTTCCCATGGCCTGCTTGCACTGCTTTTCTGTTTGCTCTGTGTTTTTCCAAAGGACCCTTGTATGTTCCTGGTTTATTTTGGGTTCCCTTTACAGCTGATGGAGAAGTGTCAGCTTGAGCTGTAAGCTGAGATAGGTGCTGTGTCTTAACTGTATGGAAAACTCCTTACACACACACACACTGCTGAGGAGCAGTGTGAATGTTTTTCCTTCTCTATGGCAGTTACTCATTTTACCTTGTGTTCCCCTTGGTTTTGTAGAAAAGGACTCTCCTCCGACAATTGGAGTGCCCACGCTGTCCATAGTAGCCTCCACAGCGAGCTCTGTCGCCCTGATTCTGCTGTTAGTTGTGCTGTTTGTTTTGCTGCAGCCTAAGCTGAAGTCGTTCCATCATAGCAGGTAAGTGTAGCTGGGGTTTGGAGGGGCTCAGAGGCACCCTGTTTCTTTGCACTAGAAACTCACTCAGGTTGTTGGGTTAGATCTGCCTTTTGGGGCAACTTAGCTCCTGGCTTCTCTGTTCCTCTTTTCATCTCCTCAGTGACATCTCTGCCCCATACTACTGCTTTTCTGAAATGGTGGTCTCTGATACCCACTTGCAGTCCCCGTTTGTATGTGCCACCCAAGGAGTGACTTCCTTGTGCTTTTGCCTTGGCTTTGAATGGAAAACGTTATGATACTTATTAGCCTGGCTATAGATCATTTTCCTACCTCTTTTAGCCTTGGATGGGTCCTGAAGTCGGTGTCTGGTTGTATATATGTGCATCTTTCCCAGACTGCTTGAGCTCCTGTGGACCTGAAATTAGGCAGCACTGTTCTTTAGATACAGGTGCAATATGCCATCCTCTTCTGTGGGAGGAGAGCCCTCTTGGCCTGGGTTTGTGGGTAAGAGAAGGGACCCAGGCATAACACTGCTGCCAGCTGAGACAGACACTCCAGCCATGGGTAGGTTAAGAGGTGAGGCTCTGGAGTCTGCCCTCTTCTGAAAAGGCCCAAACTACTAGAAAAGAAAAAATTTCTCTCATGCCTTATGAGGCCAGGTGATTCATGCCATGCCAGAGCTGTATTCCCCATCCTGCCAGAGGTTATCTGGCCGGCAGCAGAACGGACAGTGCTGGGTGTTGTGGAACGTAGCAGTGCACCAGGCTGGAATCAACAGTGCTCTTTGCCGGAGCAGGGAGCTGGGTCATGACCTTTGTCAAATTTAGTTATTGAGGTAAGTGAGGGGGGAAAGCATTGTAACCTTTTCAGTTCTTGTTGCTAAATCCATTGGGTGCTGTGAATTACAGCCCCTGCTCATGTTTAATGGCAGTTTGCAGTAGGCTTACAAGATGGCTTGCTTGACCTTGTTAAATCACCATTCAAGTTTCTGTCTTCCCCTAAATGGTGAGAGTTGGAATTCTGCTATGGGAGGTTACTGGAGTTCTTGGTAAGATATATATGGTAAAATTAATACTCAACTTGATTTTTTTTTTCTCCTTCCCCCTCCTTGTTCCTTTCATTGTTTTTTTTTTTGAGGCGAGACCAAGGTGTGTCTGGAGATCAGGTCTCTATTATGGTGGATGGTGTCCAAGTGGCCTTGCCATCCTATGAAGAAGCAGTATATGGCAGCACAGGGAATTGCATTCCACCCTCGGACTCCCGAGTGCAGATCGTGCTCTCAGAGGGAGCTGGACAGAATGGACCCAGAGAGATGCAGCAGCCAGACCAAGGGGCTCACAGTACCTTTGAAAGAGAAGATGAAGCCCCTGGACATTCTGGACTGTGTGAAGCCAGTGGCTCTCAGCGCTCTGAAACTGTTCTTGTGCATCAGGCTGCTACCTCTTCCTGGGTAGCTGGCATGGCTAGCAGTAGACCTGTACACAAAGAGGTCCAGGATTCAGAAAGCAGTGACATACAGAGCCTTTTATCACTCACTTCCTCTGAGGAATACACAGATGGTAAGTGACTTGTGCGAGGAGCACTAAATGAGACCCTTTTAAGAGTAGGTTCTGCCGTTGACTATCCAGGGTGAAAAATGACATGGGATGCCCCTAGAACAGCTTTTGAAAAGATCCAGTCTCTATAGCATGTTTCACATCTTAAACATGTAAGCAATGCTTATTACCTTCTTCTGAAGAATTCGGTGTTCTCAGACTGGAGCCTAGGGCAGTCTGAGCAAGATTGTCTACTGGTTACTCTTGTTTTAGCAAAGGATTTTCTGAGAAATCCAGCCTCCAGCATCATAGTGCAAAAGCAGTAAAAATAACTGTGTTTGTGGAAGCTAAGTTGGTGGGAGTGGGAGGACATGCTTGGAATACAAGCCCTTTGTGATGTTTGGGCTGCTTAATTTTTAGACTATTTTAGTAAGCAGCTTTCTGCCACAAAGTATTCAGTGCTGCAGCCTTAGCCTGCAAAACCTGAGAGGGATGTGCATGAACTTACTGTAGAGGGCAGAGAGGCAAGTCTGTTGAACAGTCAAAACATCTTTTATTTCTAACTTCTGTGCTGTCTTGAAGGAGTGGCTTTGCAATGCCAGAGCTGATGTGAAGGTGTAGCTTAAGGTTGCTTCTGCAGGGACTGCTGTGTCTCGGGCAAGAAATGTAACTGGCTTGTAGATTACTGAGGGCAAAACTTTCCCTTTCCGTGATATTAAGAAATACTTTGTGCTAGGAGGGTAATGCAGGACCAGATGGACACCCGGAGTGGTGATGGAATCTCTGTCCTTGGAGTTTTTTGAGGCTGGAGCTGGTGCTGGTGATGATCCCACTCTCAGGGGCAGGTTGGAGCAGAGTCCTCCAGAGTTCCTTTCTGCTGTGATGTGATGAGATGGGGACCACTGCATTGTCATGTTATGAAAGTGGGAGGCTGTCTTGCTTTCAATAGTAATTTTTCTGGTGTGTATTGAACTTCAGAAGTTTGACTAATTTTTCTTTTTTTTTTTCTCTCCCCACCATTCAGATATTCCATTATTGAAGGAAGCATGAGGTCTGCTGTGTTTGTCTAGTCTTCTCCATCTTGGATTTCTTCCTTCTCCCTTCTCCCTGCCTTTGGGACAGAAGCACTCTGTGCAGTCTTCCCCATCCTCGCAAGCTGTACCCTGGATACCTCTAAGAAGAGATGCCCTCAGCTGAAGATCCAAAGGATGTTGCCAGGTTGCCTCCTGGATGCACCAGTGGAGTTGGTGCAGCGCTGGCTTCCCCATTCCATCAGCATCAGGGGCTCAAGGAACAGAGTGGATTTGAGCTCTCCTCTCCTCTTCCCCAGCCGGATGTTTGACAGCAGCTCTGAAGAGCTGCTCTTTCTTGTGCCTTTCTCCTCCTCACACTGGCTTGTTGCAGCTTATCAGCCTTTCTAGCCCTTCTGCTGCCCAGAGAGCAGGGGCTAAACCCGCTTGCTCGCTGGGTGCAGACACAGTTTAAATATACATACATATATGTTATATAGGCTCTTCTTCCAGCAGCATCCTCTTTGTGATAGGGCAGGGCAAAATGCCTCACTGGGACTGAGATTGGGTTTGGGAGGGATCGCAGTGAAGGGGCAGCTGGTGATGTGTAGAAGCGCCTCAGACGAGATGGGCTGTGTGACAGCTTAGCTGTGCAGGAACAGTTCACTGAGAATTGCTTAAGCACTGAAGGCTGAGAAATCCAACATATAGGAATGCCCTCTGTCCCATCTCTGCAGGAGTCCATTCCCGAAAATCACTTTTGTCTCCTCCTTCTTCCTCTACCAGTGCAGCCCACTGGAAGAGGTTCAGGTGTTTGAAAATACCAACACAAAAAAACGCCTGTAGGTAGTGAATTCCTAGTGCCATTGGTGCAATCCCAAATTCCCTTTCCAGCCACAGTAGGTACTTGAATCCTGGGTAGCTGCCATCTCATAGGCTGGTGTGTCTTCCTAGCTTCATACAGCAAAGGGTCTGCTGTTTTAACCTGGTGGGCTCCAGCAGGCCCATAGAGAAGGGCTCCTCCCTTGTGGCTGGGGGTAAGCAGCATTTGTAAAGCTTCTCCTAAACACAGTGCCAGCCTGTTGCTGTGAGGGAAAGTCGAGTACACTGACAGCAGTGCTAGAGGACACCACAGCTGAGTCCTGAAGTTTTGAGGATTGTTTCAAGTTCTGGTAGTAGGGAAGAGAAAATTCAGAAATATGTGTACCTCTGCCTGCCACAGTTACCTGTCTGTGTTGGGACTCTATTACTGCAGGAAGCCACATTTGCCTTGAGTATGTGGTCCAGTCCAAGTGCTGTGGTTGTTGTAAGGTTCCTCACTGAGGACTGGACACTGTTCCATGAGATTGGTTTCAGCAAGAGTTGGCTTCTTAGATGCATGTACCTTGTCATAACTGTCTTGAAGTAACCAGGGAAGTGTTTGCCCTGTGAGAAGCTGCTACATTTTTGAGTTGAAGGAGCAAAATGTCATGGCCTTACACATCATGTGGTAATGTACAGGTAAACAGGGATGCTGTCTTTGCTGCTTTGCTTTTGATTTACGATCCTCATCATCCTCATCCTTGTTGCTACAGTAAAAAACATTACAGCACTTGACAAAAATCATAAAACATCTTTACATATAAAATAGCTGTGGCTTAGCTCCCGTTCTTTGAAATGGGGATTGGCCATAGTGTCCAGCTGTGTATTTGCTATTTCTTTTCCTGAATAGCTGTTAAATCCCAGGACACATGGAACAGTGTGTTCCTGTGGGTGGAAGAATCCTTTTTTCCCCTATCCTTGTTATAGAGGGGTGTTAATTTAAAATTACAATGTTTTAGACATCCTTCCCTGTTGCTCATGTTACCTTGCATTAACACAAGAATTTGATAAATCCCATTTGGGTGGTTTAGGTATCTTTGTTCAGTTAGGATGGTGAAAATCCTGTGTCATTTTACAGTGGGCTGTGGTGTCTCAGCTTCAAGCACTGTAGAGGACAAATGTTGTTTACACGTCTGCCGTTGGAATTTTAAAAAATAAGCATGAGGACGATTGTATTTAGCTCTTTGACTGTTGGAAATGGTCTAAGCTTGAGTAAAATCTCCTTCATTGGTTTATTGGAGGAGTTGAGCAAGTGTAGTGGTAAGGGAGTGTGGAGGAAAGTTTGTGTGACTTTCCTGCTGCCTATCCAGCTTGGAGCAGGAATTGCTTTTTATGCATTTAAGGTTCTGTCTGCTCAAACTGACCCTCAGCAATTCCAGGTATAGAAGTTGGGAATGTGTTGCCTCCCTGAAAGGGGCAGTGCTAGTGCCAGGTTGGTGGGAGAAGCTGGAAGCTGATCCCAAGGCCTGACCTTGCTCTGGATGAGCACCTGCACCACCAGCAGAAAACACATCCTCTGTGGTCTGACCTCCTCTCTGCTTCTGTAAAACAAGCAACTGCCAGCTTGGGAGAGAAAATTCAGTTTGGGTGGGGAAGAAAAAGAAGCAAGCTCTACGAAAAGGGAGTGCTTTAATTTTGCAGAATCAAACAGAATTAACTAAGTTGGAAAAGACCTTTAAGACTATCAAGTCCAACCTATGACTGAACACCACCTTGTCATCTAGACCATGGCACTGAGTGCCACCTCCAGGGATGGTGACTCCACCACCTCCCTGGGCAGCCAATTCCTATGCCCAGTCACCCTTTATGTGAAGAATTTCTTCCTAATGTCCAGCTTAAACTTGGTGCAGCTTAAGACTGTGTTGCTGGTTACTTGGGAGCAGAGACTGACTCCCCCCTGGCTACACCCTCCTTTCAGGGAGGTGTGGAGAGTGATAAGGTTTCCCCTGAACCTTCACTTTTCCTGACTGAACAACCCCAACTCCCTCAGCCTCCTCATAGGATTTGTGTTCCAGACCCTTCACCAGAGAGTTTTTGCCCTTGTCTGGATGCATTTGAGCATCTCAGTGTCCTTCCTAAATTGGGGGTTCCAAAACAGGACATAGCACTCAAGGTGTGGCCTCACCAGTGCTGTGAGTACTGGGGGACAATCACTGCCCTGATCCTGCTGGCCACACAGGCCAGGATGCCATTGGCCTTCTTGGCCACCTGGGCACACTGCTGGCTACATGTTCAGTCTGCCATCAGTCAGTGAACCCAGGTCCTTTTCTGCCTGGCTGTTGTCCAGCAACTCTTTCCCCAGCCTATAGCACTGCAGGGGGTTGTTGTGGCCAAAGTGCAGGACCTGGCACTTGGTCTTGTTAAACCTCATATCATTGGATTCCATAAAAATGGTTGGAAATGGCTTTACTAACGAGTGGGGGAAATGTGGAGGTGGAGGAGGGAAATATGCAACTGTAGCTATTGTGATTAAACATAAACAGGCAGCTTCTGTTGGCTTGTTGAGGCTAAGCCAGCAGCTTCCAGGCCAGTCTCTGTGCTAGCTGGTAATCCCTTCTGATGATTCCAGATCCTGCAGAAGAGCTCTATTCCCTGTAGCAAATCTTGTGGGAACAGGCCCCAAGGATCTTTGTGAGCCAGGGTATGAAGCACAGTTTGGAGGCATCACACCTCTCATCTACATCCTCAGCTTTAGAGTTAATTTTCATATAAAATGAGGTAAAACAACAGGGGAGGAGCCCAAAAGATGTCTGACAGCTTTTTCAAGGGGGAGGGAGAGCAAGGCCTCACTTTACTGGTTATCAAATGATTACTATTCATTCATGTTTGTTTTAATTCTGCAGAGGCTGACGGACTGAGAAGTCTTTGGGTAGAGATATAGGAAAACCTACTTTGCACAGTTCTGTCTTTACTTAAGGGAGCAATGCCTGAAGCCTAAAGATCACTCATGTGTGAGCTGTGCTCTGCCTCAGGAGTGTTCATTATCTCCGAGCTGAGTGTGTTCTCTCTCGATTTTGCTATAAGTAGATGCAGCCTGGATCTCAGTGTTGTGGATGGGAAGCACAGAAGCTCAGCCTTGCAAGATGTAATACAGTAAATGGTTTTTTACCCTTTTTATTTTCCCCTGATGGGGCCACAGTCTCCATACCTTTTCTTTCCCTACCTATGTCTGGCAAAAGATTTCAAAGGGAGGCATTTTTTTCTTATTTAACACTCCCAACATAATCATCTCATGCTCTGTCATACATGCTGGATTCTGTGATATTCAAAAACATTGAAATTATTATATTGAGAAAAATTAAAATAGCACTTATTTAAAAGTTTTCCATTATTCTTGGAGTCTGATAGTTGGGGGAAAAAGGGCATTTCAGAAATTCAGGATATTATGTGCAATAGAAAAACTTCCTTGCTCCTTTCCAGTTCCATAGTTGTTAAAAAAATAGATGCAACTTATTGCAGTGTTTATAGCTCAAGCATTGTAGAACTGGACCAGTCTGAGAGAGCCAGGACATGAAGTTGGCAGTGACCCATGGGGAAGTGGGCCAGTCTCTTGTCAGGCTCTGCATCATGAAGCTCACCTCAAATGATGAGCCATCTTGGACTGTGTCAGAGTCTTCTGTGGCCTTGAAGGGTGTCAGCAGCACTGGTGAGAGAGGGGTTTGTGTGTTCTGGTTTTAAATAGCTTGTGTCTAGCCATCATTAACTGCAGAAGACGTAAAAATTAAGTCAGGAGAGAGGTACTGAAATATGTGAGCCTCTGGAGTTGTTGCTGAGTTAAAACACCATGAGTTTGGGAGAGAGAAGAGCTTAATGCAGTTTTATCCTGAACCACCAGGGAAGTTGTTGGATAGCAGAATGTGCACTCAGCAAGCAGAGTGCTTTTTGCCCCTTGGACATCTCTGCTGAGGTTTCTCCTTGGCCTTTCAGGTCCAGTATGGTGAATTGTTTACTGTAGCTGGAGTCTTAATTTGGCCTTTCATTGTGTGGAGAGCTCAGGTGTGTTGGGAAGAAATCTGTTCCACAAACTTTTGGAAGAAACATCCCAAGATGCTCCCAGAGGTGGATGACTTGGGTCAATACTGAGGAGTGGGGCTAAGAGAGCAACTGGCTCAGCCATTGGAAATAGTCTTGGATGGTTAAGTCGTTTGCAGCACAGAAAAGGGAACACAAGGAGTTGTCTAAGGAAGAGCTGAAAACAGAGGTTTACTGCAGGCTAATGAGCTAATGCAATCATGACTAGGTTGTAAGGAAGCTTGTGCTTTGTTAGATTATTTAGCATACACCAGCAGGCTTGCTGTATAAAAAAAAAAGTAACGTACAACTGGTTGGACATACTGAGCTGTCCTTGCTGACCTTTTTAGAACATACTTGCAAAAAATGTGGTTTTACTGTTCTGACAGCAGTTTAAATGAAAAATCTGCCTTGTTACTCTATCCAGATAACTATTTAAATAAATTTCACTTTGTTTTTTTGTATATAAATGCAATAAATCCCATTCGTTTTGCACATCCTGCCTCAACTCATCACCCTTCAGTCCCTACCAGCGAACAGCAGATTGAATTTGCTCTATGTGAAAACCTTTGCTTGCAGAACTTCATTAGAAAGCAGATTTTCTCTCCTATAGGCTTTGAAAGTACAAAGAGGTTTCCTAGAGCAGGCTTCATTTTAAGGTGTATTTTTATACAAGAAGTAAGCCTTTTTCCAGTCCTAGCACTCCAGGACAGACCACACCACTTCCCACACTTCAGGGCCGTGTGTTCAGCACTGCTTTCAAACTCAGCCCTCTGCAGGTGATGTTCAGATCTGTGTACCCACCAGAACATGTTGTATTGATGCTCTGCATATGCTTTCTGTAAGCTATGCTTTTGCTTCTGTCCTTGAGTGACAACAGACAGAAGCAACTGAGATGTGCTGGAAAATGTTTTAGCTCAGATTCTCAAAGTTGCTTCCTTCCAAAAGAAAACAAAGTGAAGTTGACTGTGAAGCAGAAGTCCTATGATGTGGTGGGTAGACTGCTGGTAGTTGCTGATAAAAGTGCAAGGGGAGCTTGATTGCCTTTCTGCATTAATCTTTTCTTTCCTATATGTATTTTCTTTTTATCTGAATTGCACCACTATGGAATTATTTGCAGAATGGTACTCCATATATATGTGGGATTTAAAACCATAACTGATGCTGTGCAGGATGTCACTCAATCGGTTTTATTTTGCTTTATTTTATATGTATTTTCTGGTATCCTGTACATTGCAGTGGGTGTGAAGATAGTATTTTAATATTTGTACAAAGTTTAATTTAATTGTTCTATGTATATAACTGCATTTCTAAATTAAAAAAATTCTTTTGAAGTGAAGCTATAACTTCTTGTGTTTGTTTTTTGGGGGAGTTTTATATTTGTTTTGTTTTGTTTTTTGTTTTTTTTAAACTGCTTAGGCCTTGTGGCCTGGAAATCTAGCAGATCATTAATGAATATGTTGCAGTTGTGAAAACCAGGGTGAAGCTAAACCGAGGGAAGCTCAAATGGCTTGGGGAAGAGAGGTTCAGAGTTGGTGCAGCCTTAGAAGGATCATGTTTCCAGGTTCAGAAGCAAAGGCTACCCTCGGTGTGCTTGCATAGAATTCCTTGAGGAATGAGGCCAGGCTGGGCAGGGGAGAAAGGTTTAAAGAGATCATGTATGGTATGAGTGGATTTCAGGGAAGAAGATGGTAAATATAATAAATGGCTAATTACTTTTTGAGTCTGTATAAGAACAATATGTATAGGAAGAGAGTGCTATTTTTAGA